ACTATCATTATTATTATTATTATTATTATTATAGCTATTACTCTTATTATCATTATCACTATCATTGCCATTATCACCATCATTATTATTGTTATTATTATTATTATTATCCTTGTCATTATTAATATTATTATTGTCATTAATCACGTTGGTAGTTTTATCATTATTTGTATCATGTGGTATTATTGTCATAAATATTCTTATATCTGCGATAATCATTACATTTACTATTAATATTGATAAAAGTATTTATATATGTATATGAGTGTATGTGTGTTTGAGAGAGAGCGAGAGAGAGAGAGAGAGAGAGAGAGAGAGAGAGAGAGAGAGAGAGAGAGAGAGAGAGAGAGAGAGAGAGAGAGAGAGAGAGAGAGAGAGAGAGAGAGAGAGAGAGAGAGAGAGAGAGAGAGAGAGAGAGAGAGTGAGAGAGAGAGAGAGAGAGAGAGAGAGAGAGAGAGAGAGAGAGAGAGAGAGAGAGAGAGAGAGAGAGAGAGAGAGAGAGAGAGAGAGAGAGAGAGAGCGAGAGAGAGAGAGAGAAGAGAGAGAAGAGAGAGAGAGAAAGAAAGAAAGAAAGAAAGAAAGAGAGAGAGAAAGAAGAAAGAGAGAGCGAGAGAGAGAGAAGAGAGAGCGAGAGCACAGGCGAAAGGGTAAGCACGCAAAACGGAAGCAGTAATTACAGTCTGGTGCCCGGACTGCAGGCCTACCCCTCAAGTCCACGTCGCTGAGGACTTAAATCATCTCAAGCCGGAAGTCCAGTGACGGGAAGGGCGCCTAGGCCTATGTGGAGGCGTCTTGCTTGGCCTTTTGATTAATCTTAATTTCCTCGGGGACTCATCGCGAGCCTGAATTTGCTCTTTTCGTTTCGTGGTTTTCATTTCGAGGGGATCGGGGGGGGGGGGTTGTAGGGAGGGATGGGAGTGTGTTGTGTGCGTGTGTGTGTGTGTGTGTGCGTGTGTGTGTGTGTGAGTGTGTGTGTGTGTGTGTGTGTGTGTGTTTATGTGCGTGTTTATGTGCGTAATTTCGTGTATTTGAGTATATTCATTTATGTGTGTGTAACAGTGTATGTTTGTGCTTGTGCATGTGTACAAGTATGTATACAGCCAGATAGATCGCCAGATAGATAAATAGACAACACGAAGTCACATCAACCGCCATATAGATCACACCGGAATGTAGAAAGGAGAATTAGAGAGCGGAAGAAGATAAAAAAGAGGAGGTGAATATTATCCATTTCTGCTGTCGTCTCCCTTCCTCTCTTCGCTGCCGTAACTGTTGCATCCGGCGCTCAAATGTTTAATATTTGCAATCTTCTTTTATTCATTTTTTCTCTCTCTGCAAAATCCGGAAAATGAGTAATAAGCGGAATGAGAAATAATAATCGCTATGATGATGTTTTGTTGCAATCGCGTGGATGCAATACAACGCGAGGACAGAACAAATGAACAAAATACATGAGGGTAAATACGAGAACAATTTAGTTCACGATGATTGAAAGTACACCTATTTAACAAGGCGGTTGCGACTGTTGCAAGAATCATGTGAAATACAATCATACAGATTATCAATATTGGTCAGATAAAGCATACTGTATACATAAATGCGAACGTTAATAACATATATTGCATGAGGGAAAAAATATAATAATGCGCACTGCATATAATGATTGACAGTTACTACTCACACGGTATTTAGCTCCTGTTACCATACTATAGTTTATATCGATTGCAGAATGAGGGGAGTGTGTGAACAAGACGTGTCGACGGATAGATAGACAAGACAGACAGACAGAAAAAGAGGCAGCGGTGAAGCTTATTAGACGGGTATACTGATAGATAGGACAGATAAAACAGACAGGTAGATAATGGTCGAACTTATCATTCTTCTAAACTATTCGACGCCAAAACGACCGGACCCTCAGAGAAGCGGGCAGTCCATCACCCTGTTGTCACCACCTTGACACCAGCCAACCAGACCGAACAGACAAACCAACAGACAGCCGTACAACCCTTTCACTCATTCCTGTCCTCGCCGTCGCCGAAACAGACAGCCGTGCAAGCCATCGCTCATTCCGGCTTATACTGTCACCAGCCTGTCAACAGAAAGCCATACGGACCGACAGACTAAGAGACGTGCAACCCATCACTCACTCGAGCGGTCGTTGTCACTCCTTCGTCCCCGACAACCCTTGTAAAGCAGCCTGCCAGTGACACACGAGGAGACAGGGTTCGGGGACATTGCTTGCGCCTCTGTAATTTGTAAACGCGTAAGTTATAATTCCAGGGAAAGGAGACGCGGCACGTAAACAAGGCTTCTCGGTAAAGGAGTGCGTTCTTGCGTCTTAAAATTGGATACCGGATTTTCGATGTTGTTATTTATAGGTCTCGTGGCGAATGCTTGGTTAAGAGGAAGAAGGGTGAGAGGAGAGAGAGGAGAGAGAGAGAGAGAGAGAGAGAGAGAGAGAGAGAGAGAGAGAGAGAGAGAGAGAGAGACTAAGCCTGCGACTCTTGCTTGACCATATTTCCTCCGGTTTGCCACGCCAGAGCCGAATAAGCGTAGGTAATCATGCTCTCCGCGCGTTCTTTAAAAATTTGTTTGGCAGCGGAAACGTCGGAGAATCGATGCTTGCGAATACTGAAGGCATCCCTCTGTTCTCACCGCAATCCCGTGCCCTTCCTTTCTCACACTCCCACCTGGTCTTTACCCCCACGCACCCTCTCCTTCCCCAACCACAACCCTCAACTAAGCATCAATTACATATCCGTTTCGAACTTCCAGCGAATTTTGCCCTTTATTTCTTCATCCTTCATGTCCCTTTCCCGTCCCTCCGCCAATCCTATCCAAGCATCAATCTTACATCCGTTTCTGACTTTCAGCACATTTTCTTCACTACTGTATTTCTTCATTCGTCATAATTTCCTGTTCCCCTTCCTTCCGCCCTCCCATCCACTCCTCTCCTTCCTTCCTTCCCTCCAGGCCATCGTGGGTTCCCTCCCGGCCGAGCCATTCATCAACACTTCATCTCTTCCTTCTTCCTTTCCCTGTTTCCCTTTCGCAAAAACAACTAACGTGTACCCGGAACATCTCATCGCCTCGCCGTGTGTCCTCCTTTCTCATCGCTCTTTCCTTCTATCCAGTCCCTGCTTTTCTTTTCCGGGCGACTATCCTGTAATCCTACGCCTCTTATACCCTAAATAAATCCTTTTTCTCATGTCTTTATTTCAACGCCGATGCTCGAGTTCCTTCCGTAAATATCCTTCCAGCACACGACACATACATCTCCAGCTTCTCCAGACCACACACCGTTCCTATCCCCTATCCCTTCGTCCCTCTCACACGCCCTTCCCCACACCCCGAGAGAAGGACGCCCACCTCCTTCGACCCACTCCAACCACCCAACCATCCAACCAGTCTTGCCCCGGTCCGACTAGCCGGCCTCAGCCAAGCCCCTCGCCCGCGTGTGGTGGTAGTTAGGTCGTTAAACCGTATAGCCAATTAGTATGTGTAACAAGCAGGGAGGGTGTCCGCTAGACCCTCGGACTGCGGACACGCGAAAGGGAGGTTTTGGCTTCGCGAGGACGCTGTCGGAGACCATGCGGTGTGTGGAGGTCGGAGGGGGCTGGGCTGGGACGCGTCGGCGAAGGAAAGAGGGAAGCTGTTTTGCCGTGAAGAATGAATATGGTTTTGAAAGAGGATTATTAAAATGGCATTCTTATTTCCATATGGTTTTATTCGATTCCATTTTTTTACCATGTTGCTTTCATTCTCTCTCTCTCTCTCTCTCTCTCTCTCTCTCTCTCTCTCTCTCTCTCTCTCTCTCTCTCTCTCTCTCTCTCTCTCTCTCTCTCTCTCTCTCTGCTCAAGGATTCGTGATCCATTGATTGAACGTCTTTCTTTATGTTTATTTTCTCCCATGATTGATGCGGGATGTAGCGTCCCTTGCCGTTCCAATCCGACAACAATACTCCAATCACAAGAAAAACAGGAATATAAGAATTGAAATATGCTGTTGTAATTCTCAAGGGATTGCGTCTCGATCGCTTCGACTCCACGCGGAATGCCCGAGATTCATATTTTCTTTATTATTTTTATTGTTTTTTTTTATGACAAAGAAAGCGTGAGATGGATTTTTTTCTTTCTCGGAATTTCGCTCCGTATAGTTTGTCAAAACGAAGTATATATATTTTTTCTTCTCTCCATATAAAAGGAATAGGATTGGGAAATGTATGTTGTTTGAATGTGATTTTTTTCGAAATTGTTATAATTTTGAGCTATGATCTTTTTCCGTCCGTTTTCCTCTTCTTGTTTTGAGACTACATATCGGTGGTGTTTTTACCTTTGCTTCATTTATATATATTTTTTTTCTTTTCTAGTCTTTTATTGTTTTATGCTGCTTCGTGATCTGTCTTTCTACTCTCTCTCTCTCTCTCTCTCTCTCTCTCTCTCTCTCTCTCTCTCTCTCTCTCTCTCTCTCTCTCTCTCTCTCTCTCTCTCTCTCTCTCATTTCTTGCAAGTTATTTTTCTAGCAATACACCCCATATTTTCATATCACAACAACAATGTTCAAAATATTTAGTGTGCTGTGTAAAAAAATTTATACAGCATATGATTTATAATTACAAATATGGTTATAATAGATACAGCGATAGACACTTCAAACCAAAACAGATACTTAGTGTGAAAATCAAATGCTATAAAAAAAAAAAAAAAAAAAAAATCACGTCAAAAACAGGAAAAAATAGAACGTCGAAGAGAGGCTTAGAGGGCAAGAAGGCATGGGCGTGCGGGCGCGTTCGGATAATGAGACGTAGGATGGGCGTGGGAAGTGGGCGGTTCGGTGGGAGGAGCTTGCGTGTTACCGACACAGCAACGCCGGCGAAGGAAGGAGGGGTGGCTGGTGGGGGGGGGGTGAGGGGAGGTGTCTCCTCATTGCTGCCGTGTGATAGAGAAGGGGCGGGGACGGGGGGAGGGGGGGAGGGGGAGGTGTCTCTTGGCTACATGCAATGCGGCAGTTAAGGGCAGTGACAACCTTGGGTAATTATAAGCCATGACACCTATTTCCATTCCCCTCCCTCCTTCCCCCACCCTTCCCCCTCCCTCCCTCTCCGAATCGGCCAATCGGCGGCTGACAGAGCTCGATAGATATTTTTATATCGGGTACGATTACCTCTAATTATCATTACAACTGCTATTTGTAGTAGAAACAGGAGTAGTAGTAGCTGTACTGTTTACTGTTACATTTACAATTATTGTCATTGGTATTATCCTTGGCGTAAAGAAAGAGGCAAAACGAAAAACAAATCCCAAAAGAAAACATAAAAGTGAAAGCTATTACAAAAATAATAATAAATAAGTGAATAAATTAATAAATGAATAAATAAATAAACGACAACTGAAATCTGTCGCCAAGAACACGCACGCACACAACTAATACGTCTTGTTCTGCATCTCTTTTGATAGCCGTATAACAACTGATAATGCCAGCACAGGCGACAGTAAACAAGGGGGGGGGAAGGAGGGGAGAAGGGGAGAAGGGAGGAAAGAGGGGGGGGAGAGGAGGTAGAAAAAGAAAAACAAATATAGCGTCTTGACATGAGAGGTGTACATAACTAGTCCCCGCTCGCCGTCGACATATGTCAAACTCACGTCACGTCGCGTCACGTCACTCGGAACCGATTCGTCCGCTGATCGCGTCAGTCGGGAGGCGAAGCGGCGAACGGAGGCCAACTGGGGGATTTTTCGCGTCTGGGAACCCGCGGGAGGGATTCAGGTCCGGTTTGAAGGGAGGTTTGCGGAGCCAGGGTTGAGTCGTGGTGTTGTAAGCTTTAGATGGTGAAGGAAAAAAAATTGCTCACACACACATATATGAAAATATGTATATATGTGTGTTTGTGTGTGTATTTGTCTATGTACCTACCTACCTACCTATGTATGTATATATATACATATCCATATATATTATAACAAACTGCGTTTTTGAAATCCGAAGGTATTCGATATATCATCAAACAATGACACAGAGACAATAGGGGAAAAAAAACTTTCTTATGAAATGACAAGATGAAGACTAGCACAGGATACTGACAAGACTCCCCCCCCCCCTTTCCGTCACCCTTACCCCTATCTGCATCCCCCTTGCCCCCCCCTCCGTCTCCCCCTCCCCTATCTGCATCCCCCTTGCCCCCCCCCCCCCGCCCCGTCCGTCACAGTTTAGCTCCAGAACTTCGTGATTCTAGAGACTCCCTTTGGATGGATGGGTTTGTTGCGTGCAAGACAGGCGTGTGTGTGTGTGTGTATGTGTGCACGTTTGTGTATTTGTGTGCGTGTGTGTGTGGTGTGTGTTGTGTGTGTGTGCGTGGATTTAGGATGTACATTTTTGCATGTTTTAAACTTCATGTGTATGTATATGTCAGTGCCCGCACTTATATGCTAACATGTGCACATGTGTGCGTGTTTGCATATAACCGCACGTGTGTACATGTGTATGTGTAAGTAGTTCCTATGACACACAAGCCACGCACACGCCACTCTCTGTCGCCAGCTGGTTTGTCGTGCCTCGAGTTCTATTGTCACATTATCCGACATTTTCTCGCTCGCTTCTGTAATCATATATTTTTTTCTGTTTGCGTCTAGGGCGTGTTTTAGTTATCCCTTTGTATGTATCCGTGCTCTTTTTTCTTCCCGTTGAGCCGATCTATAGGTTTTGGTCTTATTCTTGATGCTAATTCAATTTATCGCGTGTATTTATTTATTCTCTCTTTGTATGATCGTAACTTGTGCTGGTGGAATTACGAGCACCAGTAAACACATCATTAATACTATCATTATTATCATACCTAGGATCCTCATTATCGATATTATCATTATCAAAATTATTATTCTCGCTGTTATTATCAATGTTATCATTGTCACTGTATCATCATTTCTATTATTATTTACTATTATCTATTATCATTTGACATTAACATTCTTACTCTCATGATCCCTGACATTACCAGTAATTATCATCCTTTACAACCACAAAAGTCATCACCAACATATCCTTTTTCATCCTCTTCATCTCCGACAACCTCTCTCGTCATCACAGCTCACTCAGGTCTTCTGTCATCATTATCACCTCCTCCTTCCTCTCCCTCTCCCTCTCTCTCTCTCCCTCTCTCTCCCACGCCTTCCTCGTCAAATATCACTTTCTCAGACCCCCGCCGACACCATGTTCACCCCTCACCCCCGCCTCTTCCCCTCTTCCTCTTTCCTCTCTCTCCCTCTCCTCTCCCCTCTTTCGGCCGACTGACCACCCTTTGTATTCCCCCTCTCCCTGCCCCCCCCCTTCCCGCCCCCCATTCACCCTCTCTCTCAACCCTAACTAATTACCGAAACGTGAGTAGGGGGAGAGGGAGGGGAGGGAGTGTAGGTGATAAAGATAGGGAGGGAAGAGAGAGGAGAGGAGGGGATGGGGAGAGAGAGAGGAGGGGGAGGGAAGAAGGAGGAGGGGATAGAGAGAGGTAGCGAGAGACAGAGGATAGGGTAGACCCGGGTGGGAGGGAGCAGGTGGGGGGTGAGGGTAGAGGGGATTGGGGATTGGAGGAAAAGGGGGGAGGGAGGGTGTCGATAATTTGTCTCGGTGTGGGTTAGTGCATAATTGATATTGATCGCCTGGTGTCGGCAAGTCCCCGAAACTGACCAATAAACACAGGGATTTTTACAGGGTGACATTTCTCGTAATCAAGGGAGGGTGGAGAGGAGGGGAGGGAGGGGAGGGAAAGAGGAAGAGGAGGAAGGGCAAAGGGACAAGGGGCAAGGGGGTGAGTAATAGGAAGAGGAGGGAAGTGAGAAAAGAGCAAAGGAAGGGAGGGAACCAGTGAGAGTGAAAGAGGGAAGAGAAAATGGGGAACGAGGGGAGGGAAGGGACAAAGGAAGAGAAAGAAGGAAGAGGGAAGAGACCAAGAGAAATGAAATAAAATAAAAAGAGGAGAAAAATATTAATGAGGCTAAATAAAATCACAACAGACCCCCCCCCAAAAAAAAAAATAATAATAATAATAATAAATAAAAAAATAAACGAACACAAAGAGAACAAAACAAGAAGATGAACAGGAGGAGGAAGAGAAGAAAGAGAGTACTGTAATTATACACCATTATGACTTTCCCAATTCCCAGAACGCGTAGTGTCGCCGGCTGATAAACTGTGTTCTCATTCTAATTCTCTTTGTTATTGCGGCGTATATATGCAAATTTACAGTTTCTTAATTACGTTCTCCTGAGAATAAAAATCGCTGTTCATTCTCTTTGGAGGCGCTGGACCAATTGATATTATCAATCTTTTTCTTTCTTACGTTTTGATCATTATTTTCGAATACTTTATGTCATTTTCGAGGTTGTGGAATAAAGTATATGCGTATATATTGCGATTGGATAGCGGTTATAAACAAGCTTTTGGTATTAAAGTTCACGAGCAGAAAAAGTTAGCGGAAAAACGCTCTTTCTTCATTATTTTCTGCGCCTGCTAAAGGAAGGAAAGAAATTAAAATATTCGTGGAGATAATGAAAATGGAATGGATGAAGTAAAGCAGAGAGAGAGAGAGAGAGAGAGAGAGAGAGAGAGAGAGAGAGAGAGAGAGAGAGAGAGAGAGAGAGAGAGAGAGAGAGAGAGAGAGAGGAGAGAAGAGAGAAAGAAAGATCGAGAGAGAGAGAGAGAAAGATCGAGAGAGAGAAAGAGAGAAATATCGAGAGAGATATAGAAAAGATCGAGAGAGAGAAAAAAAAAAATATCGAGAGAGGGAGAGAGAGAGAGAGAGAGAGAGAGGAAAAGCGCAAGTGGGAAAACCCCGAAAAACCTAACAGTCCCGCGGTCGTCCACACGCCATACAAACACGCCCTCCCGCCCGCCGGCCCGCCGAGTGACGTCCGGTCGCCAAGGGAGTTAGTTAATCATGGCTTCTCTCTCTCGTGGCGACAGCTCGGACCTCAACTGACCTTAGGGCGGGTTATTCCTCTTGGGGAGTGGGCTCTTGCGGGTGGGGGGGGGGGATCTGGCAGCTCTCTGCTCTCTAGCTCCTTTGTTTTGATTGGGTGCACTGGTGGTTAGAGTTTATTCCAATCTGGTGGAGTTTATTCCTCTTGGGGTGGGCTCTTGGGGATCTGGTGGTTATTTAAATTTCGTTGAAGAATCTGGTTTTTTTGACGTATTTAGCCAGTTGTGGAAATCCTTAGGGAATTGGGTATCATTAGCCGTCTTATGTATGTTCTCCGTTGTTATTTATTTAGTTTTAGAATTGTTCTCATGTTCTCTGTTATGAAAATACTTAGAGAATCATTGCGTATCTGATTTATGTTCTATGCTGTTATATATTTAGATTTAAAGTTGTTCTCATGTTCTTAATTATGAAAATACTTAGAGACTTAGGAATCCTTGCTTATCTGAATTACGTTCGCCATTACCATTCCTTCCGCAAAAGCAGCATCCCTTAACGGACCTCCTCTCTCCTCTTCAGACTCCGTGAACCTCTTCAACAACAGACAGCCGCCGAAGAAGAAGCGGAAGAGCCGGACGGCGTTCACCAACCACCAGATCTTCGAGCTGGAGAAGCGGTTCCTGTACCAGAAGTACCTCTCGCCCGCCGACAGGGACGAGCTGGCGCAGAGCCTCGGCCTCAGCAACGCGCAGGTAAGGACAGGGGCTGGGGTTGTGGCGTGATTTTTGGTGTTTTCTCGCTCGCGCTTCTTCGTTTCTTTGATTTTCTGGGGATGTCGCAAGTGAAGTATGCAATACGCAATGAATAAACATACTATAATGAGTACCCCATGTCTCCCTCATTGCAAAATTAGTGATAATAATTTCACTGACAACGAAAGCAATGATAAAAATGAGAATAACAATGAAATATGAATATATCCCAACCTCTAGTCTTACACGAACCCTCCCTCTCTTCCCGCAGGTGATCACGTGGTTCCAGAACCGGCGCGCCAAGCTCAAGCGGGACATGGAGGAGCTCAAGCGCGACGTCGAGTGCACCAAAGTCATCTCCTCCAACAAGACGCTCCTGGAGGCCTCCGTGAACGTCGCGGCGCTCCTGAAGGTCAAGGAATTCCCGAGGATACCGATCACCTCTTTGCCGCACTAACAGGGGGCAGGGGAAGGTTGGGTCATGGTGGGTGACCTTCTTATTTAAGGTCACGGAAGCAGATGTCGGCGAAAGGAGAAAGGACAAATCTCTCGATATCGTCACGTGTGAAACTGTGTGCGTACGTGTGTTTGTCGTATTCGGTTCGTGTATACATCTGTGTATGTATACTTGAGTAAGTGTGTGTATGTGAGAATATGTGCGTCTCAGTGTTTACCAAGAATCCTCCCAGTCGTGCGAATCCAGTCGGATGCGTTGAGAAGAGTTAATATAATTTTCATCACCGTCTGTCATTGAAGAAAGAAGTCACTCTTAGATCACGAAGCCCGGCATGTTGTTTGCTCTGATGACGTCACGCTGTGCGTCACCGAACAGCTGTTGTCGTCGCCTCGTCCTCCGCCTCTGCCATCTTGAATTTCAATCCAAGACCATAGCAAAAACAAATGAAGTGCAAATGAAGTCTACATCGCAACGAACAGCTGCTTGGCGATAAACGGACACAAAAAGAAAAAGAAGAAAAGAAAAGAAGAGGAGAGGGAGGACCCTACGCCATGCCACCTCAGCGGCGTCTCCATCTCCGGCAGACAAACGTGTTGGCTACGTGTTGGGAGATGACGTCATCATTTCCATTTTAGATACAGTATCATCGTCTAAGTCATCGTCATCTATTATTTTCGCTTGCATTTTCATCGGGCTGAAGAGGACAAAAGGAAAAATTAGACAACGACGAAATTATGATAAATTTGGAATTGCGAGTGATGTTGCATGTTGTAATGTTAAAGGATTTTTTTCCGCGATTCTGATCTAATATTACACTCTGTAATATTGCTAAATGTC